ACACGACAATCGAGGAAGTCATCTGTCTCGAGAATGACGGTTCCGCATCTCTACTCTGTGATGAGGCAGAGTTTAAAGGCCTTCACTGATAAGCCAAACTTCTCGACTTCAAGGCATTAAACATGTCACTCCCGTCTGCTTATCGCTCCCCTTCACAATGCCTTGCTTGGTGCCCGACAGAGAGCCGAACGTGGAATCGAGGAGTGGAATTGTGGCCAGACAAACCCTACTGAATCAAACCACCACCCTGTAGGTGACGCAATCTGAGGTGAGAAGTCGGAATGTGGTGATTAGCAGGACCTATATGCCAACAGTCTTTCCACTTTGAAAGTCCGCAACAACGGCAACTAATTGAAACCAAGGATATTGTAAAGTCGCCCTCCAAACGACGCACAAGACGACCAGCTCACGTGATGTGGAGTGCGTGCACAACTACTTCTTAATGAATTCCACACGAGAAAGGCGACGTGTGAGTGAGGCTATGCAACTGCGCATCTGCAAGTTCAACAACAAACGATTGCGTACTTTCCATCCCCCTTCCGCTAGCAAATAGCACTTCGGAGGCTCGAGGAGACCCACTGAGAGTAACACTGCTACCGATAGGAGTAGACCAATGCCAAGAGGGAGGTAGCAGTTACAATGGGAAACATTTGAACCCTTCAAAGACTGACATTTTAATAACCTTTTTATGTCACGGCTATTAAATGATCGTCGCTAACCTGAGGGGAGTCACTTTTACGATTAACCAGCCACCATTTTAAAAGTCATTTACCATGTTACGCCTTCGCTGAAGAACGAGATCCTAAACCTTGAAGGTCTTGTAATTCCTTACAGCGAAATGATGACATTCCATTCACTGAAGGTGCTACTCTCACGAATTTGGGAGATCTGTGAGAATGCAAGATGCTGGCACACGCAGACGCAATCAACAAGGCCTTCAGCTGAATGGAAGAACTACTGACCCACCAAACGAGAAAATGATGAGAAATACCAGAAAATCTCTTTTTGCCTCAAACTGATGCTACTTGTGTGAAAAATCTAGGAAATTCAACGAATCAATGGGATTTCAACCTTGAAAAGAGAGTAGAAGGACTGAAACTTGTGCTAAAAAGTAAGAAAAATTTCCACCTCTTGAAAAGGCTGAATTCCACAATCCAACTAACCCGGAAAGCATGGCTACAAAAGGCGGCAAAAGCTACATCACGACTACAGCGAGGGAGACAAGACAGTTCCACGGTGAAACTAATGATGGATGGACGGATGTCTGGAAAAAGGTGGTCAAAGAAAACCACTTATGACATTTCCGTCCCTAGAACTGACATCAGCGTCCAATGCAAGTGACACAGCAACCCGTGAAAAGTGGAGGTGGAAGCTAAGCATGCGGATCTCACGCATTTATCGTGGGGTACCAGATAGTCATCCCCCACTTCTTCCCGCCACGTTGTCAGATTGTTTGCCGACTGACCGATTTGTGGTGGGAGAGGGCTTTTGTGGCGCGACCTTCGCTGCGTAGGCCCAAACCACTGACTTGGTGGACTTTCGTGATGGAGACGAAATAGCACCCACGTCTGAGATCTACCTCCTCGATGGAAGTGGGTGGGCAGTCAGTCGGGAGAAAGGTGACAGGTGCCAGGACAAGTCAATCAGTTGGAAGGAGGTCAGCCCTCCTCTACACCATCAGACGTCATACCGCCTGCCAAAAAAATGCACCAGTCAGTGTCACCCCCAGTCGCATCCTCGCCTACCGCATTTCTTCGACGATATTTCACCAAGCCTCCTCAAGTAACCACCGACCTTTCTTGGCATTCCACAACCACGTCACCGCAGAGGTGAATCAGACTGGACAGTTGGGAAGCCTTGGTGGTATGGAAAACCCGGTAAACGGAGAGGTAATTGGGATTTGACCCTCGCCTTCACTTCCACAGACAAGCGGTGGTGGCAGTGGTCACGACCATTCTCAATGCTCTAGCAAATACAAGCCAATCCGGAATCCGAAACCACCAACTTAGAGACCTAGGACTGTGCCATAAAGTGAGATGCTAATTTGATGACTTGGAACCCGTCTGCTTATCGCTCCCCTTCACAATGCCTTGCTTGGTGCCCGACAGAGAGCCGAACGTGGAATCGAGGAGTGGAATTGTGGCCAGACAAACCCTACTGAATCAAACCACCACCCTGTAGGTGACGCAATCTGAGGTGAGAAGTCGGAATGTGGTGATTAGCAGGACCTATATGCCAACAGTCTTTCCACTTTGAAAGTCCGCAACAACGGCAACTAATTGAAACCAAGGATATTGTAAAGTCGCCCTCCAAACGACGCACAAGACGACCAGCTCACGTGATGTGGAGTGCGTGCACAACTACTTCTTAATGAATTCCACACGAGAAAGGCGACGTGTGAGTGAGGCTATGCAACTGCGCATCTGCAAGTTCAACAACAAACGATTGCGTACTTTCCATCCCCCTTCCGCTAGCAAATAGCACTTCGGAGGCTCGAGGAGACCCACTGAGAGTAACACTGCTACCGATAGGAGTAGACCAATGCCAAGAGGGAGGTAGCAGTTACAATGGGAAACATTTGAACCCTTCAAAGACTGACATTTTAATAACCTTTTTATGTCACGGCTATTAAATGATCGTCGCTAACCTGAGGGGAGTCACTTTTACGATTAACCAGCCACCATTTTAAAAGTCATTTACCATGTTACGCCTTCGCTGAAGAACGAGATCCTAAACCTTGAAGGTCTTGTAATTCCTTACAGCGAAATGATGACATTCCATTCACTGAAGGTGCTACTCTCACGAATTTGGGAGATCTGTGAGAATGCAAGATGCTGGCACACGCAGACGCAATCAACAAGGCCTTCAGCTGAATGGAAGAACTACTGACCCACCAAACGAGAAAATGATGAGAAATACCAGAAAATCTCTTTTTGCCTCAAACTGATGCTACTTGTGTGAAAAATCTAGGAAATTCAACGAATCAATGGGATTTCAACCTTGAAAAGAGAGTAGAAGGACTGAAACTTGTGCTAAAAAGTAAGAAAAATTTCCACCTCTTGAAAAGGCTGAATTCCACAATCCAACTAACCCGGAAAGCATGGCTACAAAAGGCGGCAAAAGCTACATCACGACTACAGCGAGGGAGACAAGACAGTTCCACGGTGAAACTAATGATGGATGGACGGATGTCTGGAAAAAGGTGGTCAAAGAAAACCACTTATGACATTTCCGTCCCTAGAACTGACATCAGCGTCCAATGCAAGTGACACAGCAACCCGTGAAAAGTGGAGGTGGAAGCTAAGCATGCGGATCTCACGCATTTATCGTGGGGTACCAGATAGTCATCCCCCACTTCTTCCCGCCACGTTGTCAGATTGTTTGCCGACTGACCGATTTGTGGTGGGAGAGGGCTTTTGTGGCGCGACCTTCGCTGCGTAGGCCCAAACCACTGACTTGGTGGACTTTCGTGATGGAGACGAAATAGCACCCACGTCTGAGATCTACCTCCTCGATGGAAGTGGGTGGGCAGTCAGTCGGGAGAAAGGTGACAGGTGCCAGGACAAGTCAATCAGTTGGAAGGAGGTCAGCCCTCCTCTACACCATCAGACGTCATACCGCCTGCCAAAAAAATGCACCAGTCAGTGTCACCCCCAGTCGCATCCTCGCCTACCGCATTTCTTCGACGATATTTCACCAAGCCTCCTCAAGTAACCACCGACCTTTCTTGGCATTCCACAACCACGTCACCGCAGAGGTGAATCAGACTGGACAGTTGGGAAGCCTTGGTGGTATGGAAAACCCGGTAAACGGAGAGGTAATTGGGATTTGACCCTCGCCTTCACTTCCACAGACAAGCGGTGGTGGCAGTGGTCACGACCATTCTCAATGCTCTAGCAAATACAAGCCAATCCGGAATCCGAAACCACCAACTTAGAGACCTAGGACTGTGCCATAAAGTGAGATGCTAATTTGATGACTTGGAA